TCACTAAGCCACCAAGCCTACTTTTGAAGCTTTGCGAAACAAACTGGCACTTACAGTGTGTTTGGATTAAGGGGAGAGGAAGAAAAGGAAAGTAAAAGAAACAAAACTCTCATTCCTTTATTTGGATAAATTTTTAATTTAAAGAAAGAGAAAAATTTGGAAACCAAATAACCTTTGGTTTTCTTTGTAAATCCAATTTTTTTAATATCCCAATTTAGAGGAAAAGCTAGGAAAAGGAAAGTTGAATTTTTTTTTTTTTTATAAAAAACTATTATATTCATGTTTTTATTAATACTAAAAACCTAATTAAAAAAACTTAAGCAAATCACAATCATCCTATAATTTTTTCAAAACCATCTCTTTTTTCAAGTAAATTTCACATATCTTTTCTAATATAAAAACTTTTTATAATTTTTTGGTGATTTGATTTTGATGAATGATTGAATATGAATAGATATATTTTTTGGGTTTATGAGATGTCAAACTAGCGCAAAATTTATCAATGCATGTTTGTAAAATATTTTCCTATTTCACTTGATTAAAAACCATTGATATAGCAGCAATTATAAAATCAAATAAAATAGCAAACATATCATAGTCTAGGAGTGCTTTAAAATCACAAGCAATGAAAAGTTATAATTGAAAAAAATTATTATAATGAATCATTTGTTTTATTTTTCATTCTTTATCCAAACAATGGTTGTTAGAATTCTTTTTTTTTCTTTCTTTTATTAATTTTAATTATTCAAACAAGGATTACATGTATCATTTTCTTTCCTTTAAAAAACTTTCTTTTTCTTTTTTTTTTTATTAATATTTATCCAAACATAGCATTAAACAATTCTCTCCATCTAGTTTGAGGGGGAGTGTAGAAGAGGATAAAGCAATCAAACTTCAAGTTTCATGCAAGCAACGATCAAAATATAAATCAAATCCCAAAACTTAAGCAAGACAACTAGATTCTTAGAGATAGGCAGATTTAATTTTATTACCATTTGTATTTATATATTTTCCATTTATATTAGTCAATTTATTACCATCTGTATTTATACATTTTCCTTTTATATTAGTCAATTTGTATACTCTGTTATCGTTATAAATAAAACTATCAAGGAAGAACAACTCACTAATTCAGTGAGTTTTTGCTAGAAATCTTAAAAGTTTTTTAGATCGATGTATGTTTGTTGGATTTTTGGCATTAACGTCCCTTGCTCTCTAGTAGATGAACGTATGTAGCTATGTTAACTAATTCTTTTTATAGCGCTGCAATATAAACTGATTTTTTTTCAGTTCCTTTGCTTGTTTAGAGAAGCATTTTTTTATTTTCCTTCTTAACATTTGAAATTCTACTTCTATTGTTATTTCAAAGTTTCTGATGAGTAAACACTTATAAGGTCAGATACACATAAAGTTTCTGATCTCACTAAGGCATGCACGCTCAAAACAGCCTTACTGTTATTGACCTCATTGTACTCTTTCATGTGCTTGTGAACAGTAGCTAATACAAGATTTTTATTTTAAGATATCCACTTATAATATATATATATATATATATATATATATAACTATAAACAGATTTACTAATTTTATCGATGAAGAGGATGTCAAGGAAAAAATTTTAAGGGTGTCAGAAGAAAATTTTCCTTCTAATTTTCTTGTTTTCCAATGTTTAAGGTGTTCATGAACACCCTACTGCCCCATTTGGATCCGCCTCTTCTTGCTGAGTTCAAGCTTTCAGGGATTTGCATGTGTGCGTAATCCCACATGACAAAGAGACAGGATTTAGCAGCCTTGTCTGCTAGCTGAATAGAAGTACCTTTCTATTAGCAGAGGAATAAGACCTATTCATTGGTATGGTCTGCATTGCAGAGACAAAAATTAACATGCTTTGGCCAGCCAATGTTGCTTTCACTCCCCATTAACGAAAGGTAATTCACATTATAACAAAACTGTCCAACCATAACTTTGGTTTGATATATGGCAGATTATAATTTGAAACCAAGACACTGTAATCAGTTGCTTAAATATACCAAAAGATGAAAGCTGAACAGCTATATTTTTCACAAGGAAAAGTGCCTCAAAATGATGACATGCCGACCTAATTGTCAGATACATATAATCTGTCATGTTACTTTTCAAGTATTTTATTCACCTCAAAGTAAAAAGGAGCCATTACCCTACTTTTTTCAGTATATCACCTGCAGACTTCTGATGCTTTACCATAAGCTTGACTATTATATCCATGATTTGCAGAGCACCCACCAAAAGTTTACCTCTCAGTTTAATCGAAGAAATGCTGGTTTTTCCTCTTGATTGGTTCACTGGAACAGTTGGCACTGTTTGATTCAGTCAGTTGATAATAAGTAATAACAGAATTGCAGGTTGTTCTCCGAGACATCAAGAAGGCAAGGGTTCACTAAGCAGGCAGCGATACATAATCAAAGACTGTGATTTACAGAAGCAGATTAGACACAAAAATTCAAGATCCAAGAAAATGGTGTTGTGTAATGAATTACAGCAAAACCAAGGAAAGTTTAGAAGAGGACCAAGCTTTTGTCCATTTTTGTATTATAGATATGTCCCAATCACACTCTTCCAGGGGTTGTTTTTTTGGAGTGATTCCTTCCTGAAACTGGGGACCACTCAAAAAACAAAGGAACCAGCATCAAGATATCAGATAACAGCAAATCTGTATGAAAAAAAGAAAAGAAAAGGATGATGAGGTTCTATTTTTCCTTCTCATTTTACATTTTAATAACAGCATTATAAAAAGAACAACGTTTTTCATTTTTAGTCAAAATGTGGACAATTTGATTCGTGTTTTTGAACTTTGAATTATTTAGTATCTTTGTTTGAAGCTTCAATTATGTCTTTCCCATAAGTTGAGATCTATCCCTCCTTTAAAGCTGTCAAGTTTCATGTAGACTTCATTTTTGTCCCTCTTTTGCTTGAGATATAGAAAGGATTATTGGGGGTGACAACATACACTGGTGGCAGCAAAATTGGTGCCCACTCTGGAATAAAATTTTGGGCTAATTGGAACTCAAAGTACTTTCCACATAAAAAAATATAGTCATGACACAGTTTGTTAATTCTAAAATCAAATAAATATAATTAAATTTGTTAATTCTAAAATCAAATAAATATAATTAAATTATATAAAAATTAAATATTAAAATTAAATGAATTAAAAATCATTTACTAATAATAAGAAATTAGATTACGTAAAATATTACCTATTGGTTATTATCATAGCAAGGCATGGCATGGCTTTGTTGGATTTGTTTCAACTTTTAACTTTAAAGTTATAACATTTTATTTTGATTGTTTATTTTATGTAACAATATAAGTATAAATGTAAAAGTACAAATTATATCTATATAATCTTTTTAAATTTTGTTTATAAAAAACTTAAGAACTTTATTTGTTTATTACAACTAATCTTAACATTTATATATTATAATATTATTTTATTTAATAATTAAAATGAATATATAATTTTATTAATCTACCTCTAAATTATATTTTGTTTAAAATTAATAATTATTTTTTATACTTATTACTTATTAGTAAATAATAATAAATTAATAAAATTTTAGATATTAAATTAAATTAATTAATTGATATTTTGACTTTTTCATTGCACAAACAAAAATTTATGTTCAATTTAATTTAAATCATTTTACGTAAGTACGTCAAGTCATTAGAAATTTAAATTAATTTGAATTCGGAACATTTTCAATTCAAATCTAATCAAATTTGAAAAAATTAGACGAATCGAAATTATCAACTTTTTTTTTTTATCAAATCCAAGCAATAAAATTTAGATTTGAACGGACTAACCGAGTTTGGACCAACTTTACCAACTCAATTCCTAAATCATGAACATAGCAATAGGAATTGTACTACAAGATCCAATTGCTTAGTGAGCTTTACCAAAAACAAATGAATTAATGCCTTTTATTGAACAAATAGAGGCCTGAATCTGGTAAAATAGTGGTGAGTTGCTTGAATTTGACCAATGAACATCCAACCAGAAGGCAACCATTCATTTAGATGTCCAGCCAAAGTGACTAATAAGGTTCCCTCTTTGGTAGCTTTGAATTGAACTTAATCTTCCTTTTTCTGTCTGTTTTTTTTTTCTTTTTTTTTTGGCCCCCTTCTTTAACCATATCTTGAACGGGAAGCACAAGCCGCTTGCCTCTATTTTTGAAAGCAATGTATAAAAATTATCTCCCTCGGTTTTATGCCTCAATTACTAAGCAAAATTTTTTTTAATAAAAAAATCGCAGCTTAAGAATAAAAGGCATGCAGCGTATGCCTCAATTACTAAGCAAAAATTTTTTTAATAAAAAAATCGCAGCTTAAGAATAAAAGGCATGCAGCGTAAGAAGGTAAGTCCATGTTTTTATGTTAGTTTTTTAAGGGGATTATATAAAGGCCACATTCCCACTTTTTCTTTTAGTTTAATATTCCCAATTCCAACTCTTGCTTTTACTTTCTCTTCATTCCATACAGGTAAGAACAAACCAATAATCTGGTGCACTCAGTAGAGGACAAAGGTGAGCATTTGAAAAAAAAAAAAAAAAAAAGAACACTCTTTAGAGATAGAAGTCTCTTAATCATGGCTGCCTCAAACCTGCCCAGCTTGCAAAACCATCTGGTGCTTTGCTGGTTTGTTATTCATACAATAACCAAAGAAAAGCAGTAAACGACAGTGCAGATTTTAGATTATCAAGGAAACCAACTTTTCCGGTAAAATCATTAGCAAAAGCAGTGGGGAGAGAGAAGCATTCTCATTTCTATTATCACTTCTTTTTCTTCTCTTTTTTATACATTTCTTTTATCAAACTTTTTATAAAAGAGATTGCAATCTAAAAAAATTAGAAGTCATGAGTTTTGAATCTTAAATTTTTTTATGCCACTTTCTAAAAATAATCGCATAAATTAATTGATTTCGGATTATTTCCTCTTATCACTCTTGGTAATGAGTATCCATCAAACCCTTTACTTCTCTTTGCATTTAAAACAAAAAGTACCCTAATGATTATATTGACCATACTTCATCTTTCTTTAGCTCATAAAAAAATTCCCTAAACTAACAAAAGAATCATCATGAATAAAAAAATCTTAAGCTACCCACTTTGGCAGTTCTTGATAGCGCAAGTTCATCCTGCAAAAAACCCACAAAAGTTCTTTCATTATCACAAGCAAATATTTTCTTTTTAAGTATAAGTAATCACCATAATGAAAAAAGTATGGTACCTAATCATTGTTGAGAATTATCCATATGCATCAGGAGCTTTGAGATACCGTAGAAGTGGCTGCTTGTTTGTCACTAAACTTAATTATGCATTGCACAGAGACTGGTATGCTGTAAGCTCACATCGGTTTAGATTAGTTGGAATTTGCAATGCGTGAAGTTAGTTAACCAATCAATTACAAAATTTACACCTGATCAAGAAACGTCGGGATAAGATTAGTCGAAGAAATCAATAAATAGTAAAAATAAAAAAATAAAAAAGGGAAAGAGAAGAGGACCAACCTTTTTTGGTTAGGAGGAAATGGAATGTCTCCATCACCCTTAAGAACGAATGTCCTCAAAGTGATTCCTACCTGTATATGGGGACCAAAATTCTACTTAAGTATTAGGAACGAGTGGCTCTTTCTCGACAAAATTTTCAAATGGGGAAAGAGAACAAAAATATCAAAAACTTTCATCATATGCCAAGTACATTTTCTTTTTCCAGGCTCGATTTTCGTATAGATTCACATAATCCATTAGCCAAGTGAACAAAAGCTAGAGGCATGATTTTCTTGGAAGATACGTTGAGTGTATCTCTTCCACGTTTAAAAGCTACGGGAGTCAGGGGTTAAGCCCAAGGACCACTAGCACAAAAGAGCCTTGTGTGCTAGACATTTGTTTATTTTAGACAAACTTGATGTACAAGACTGAGAAAAGAAAAGTAGACAAAAAAGCTCGACAGGCACTTACCTGATTGATTCTGAATGCAAATTATTGCTGATATGCAGAAGCATTTTGGAGTTTCTCCAAAAAGATATTTACACTCCTGGTTGTAAACCATAGGAATCACTTAGTAATGGAAAAAATGAATATTTGCTATAAGAATGGGCATTCATACCATGACAAATTATTCCTTCAAAGATTAGTTTTATAATAGGGAAACGAGACAACTAAAACCTACGTGAATGCACCATCAAAGCATGTGTGCCCAGTCCACGGGTGACAGCTGTTAGGTTAATATATAATATTATAGATTTTCAAAAATCGATTTAAATTCAAATCAAATATCTTTTGAAATTGATATAGTTTGAATCAAATTCTACCATTTGGTTCATCAGATTTAAAACTTTTTTAAAATTTTATATTATTTTAATATAATTTTTAATATATTTAAAATAGATTTAGATATAAAATAATTATTTTTATTTTATAAAAATTTAAACTATATATAAACTAATAAAATATATAATTTAGTTCGGTTTGAATTCTTTTGTTTTTCATATCCTGATCCAAAAAAATCTAAAACTAATCAAAACATTTACTATCCAAACTTAAACTGAAATGAATAAGAAAAAAAAAATCCAATCTGAACCGAACACTATGATCTCGAACCGATTTTCTCCATTTTTTCTCACCCCCATGTGTCAACCTAAAAGATGTACAGTTAAACAGACACAATGAGAGAGAAAGAGAGAGAGAGCATACTTTGAATGTGGATCATAACCATTTCCTCATCCTTCAAAAAAAGTTTAGCTCAGTGTATCCGTGCGCATATGGCAAAAGCTCCTCTACCTCAATCCTTGAACTAGAGTAACTCATGCTTTTCTTCAATCGCCCATGGCTTGACTCGACCTCAGCCCAAAATATACCATAAACTGGTCTGTGATCTGAGAACCTAGATTCCCCTCGGACATAAGATACTTGCTGGAGGCCTTCTCCATACCACAAAATCCGGTCACACCTTTGTGCAAAAAAGTTAAATTAAGTGAGCACCTTAAATGATTAGTTTAAAAAAAAAAAAGAATACAAAAGAGATGTGGAGGGGGAGTATATACTTCCTTTAATAAGCCAGTTTTCTTTATAACACAATCATTTTGTTCTGCTTCATAGCTATGAATTTTAAGTACTTTAGTTTGCCTTATGGCAGGAGGCACTTTCTTACCAAGCAGGAGTTCGGCGTTTCTCCTTTGGGTGCATATCATCACCTGCATATCTGTCTGAATTAGTTGAATACTTGTATGTTGGCGGGAAGTAAATCTTTCCTTCATTCCATCCCACAAAAACACGCCCTCTTTTTTGCTCTATCCTTAACTGCCAAGAAAATCATCAATGAAATATTTTCTTATTAAATTTGACGGTAAAATTTATGATATGTTTTTCAAACCTGTAAAGAAATTTGGCCAAAAATAAACCTGTGAAGAAACTTATGGCGTTTGTAACAGGACAGTAAAGCATACCTGGTCATTTTCTAGCAATGCCCTCCAGTTCTGCATCTCAACAAGTGCCTTGGCAGACCGGTAAGAGAGGGCAATACGATAATTCAAATCCCCAAGCCAAATTATTCGACTGGATTAATATATAAATAGTCAGTATATGCAAACAAAAAGCAGGGGAAAAAGACAATAATCCAGAAAAAGATAACATCAGTAGTTTTTGCATATACAAGATGGATTCATTTTTGCATCAATTTTACAGGTTCTTATGTTGATTTAGAATTGAAACTGCAACAGTAATCTCAGGCAGGCAGGGAGATGGGGTTTTAGAAGTTGAAGCACAATAGAATCATTTTAAGTCAAACATAAATAATACTCCAATAAGCCAATTCAATTTATCATCAAATTGTAATGAGTTTATTTATTTCTAAATGTAGTTTCATAGCTATTCGTGATCTGTTTTCAAATTCCATTTTTTTTTCCTGATGCATTTCTAATTCACTGAAGTAATCTTAAAGAACAAAAAGGAATTTAATTGACGCTAGACTAGCAAAGGCCTTACTCATGCTCAAGGATTGTTTCAGGGGACTTCTCATCAGCTGCATTATGAACCCGTGGAAACCTCGTTTTCTTAAGAATCTCCACGACATCAGAGTTCCTTCTTAGCTCGTCACCCTCCTTTTGTCCCGAAGTTAAATGTGTACAGATGAAGCAAAAGCTTGTTTGATGCACCAACATACTAACAGATATAGAACCCTGGAAAAACAAGCCACAAGGCAAGTAAATTATATGAAAAGTAAAGTGAGAGACTACCATTTTTACAGTCAAGTAATACCTTATTTCCGAGATAGCCCATCAATCCTCTGCCAACACAAGATACTTTCAGGTTTTTAACATGATCTCTCAACTCATTTCTCACCCAAATGGTGAGAAATATGCCGACCATTTGCTTACTAGCCACTAAGCAGTACCTTGAATACCCAGGCATCCTATATCCCTGTTCATTGGATGCAGATCCACCATAGGACATTGGAGAGTGCAATACAGTACTTGGTGAATCCGCAATCCCATTATCATCATCTGAAGAACCCCATCTGGAGTAATCACTAGGCCTGGAGTAATCACTAGGTCGGGAGTAATCACTAGGCCTATTACCCCATCTATAACTGGAGTCATAGTCACTTTGTCTATGACCAAATATTACCCGATCACAAACACTGAATCGCCTGTCAAGTCGGGGTTGCAAAATCGAGGGGTCATTGTCCATTCTCCAGCTGCTGGTTGTCTGAAATGATCGGCGATGAAAGAAAGATGAATTTTTCTGCCTTGATGACCCCTCAAAATCAGCATTTATCTCAACAATGGGCTGAGGAACAGGAGATGGCGTATAGCACCCCCCTCCTCCACTTGTTCCAGGAAGATTACTTAGAGTCTTTCTAATGAGAGACAGCCATTTTTTGGCAGGACCATTGTCTTCTGCCCCCAAAATATTCCCAGCATTCAAAGGTACTATCTCTTGAAACCTGTAAGAAACCAAAATGGGAAAGAAACTATTCTATAACCAATGGATCTACAACAGAGTTCGGAAAGCAAGACACGAAGATCAAAACTGTCAAAACATACCCAAGGACATATATATCTGCAGGAGGTGAGGCATGAAGCCAATCATCTAGATTCAAATTAATGGGTGGGGATCTTCCAGCCACATTCCATGTAGCTACAAAAATGCTGCTCCAATGGAAAAGAAGGGCAGTTGGTACTGATGCATCAAAAAAGGAATAGAAGTGATAAAATAATACTATACGAAATTTAAAAGAGAAGATACCTATAGTTTTGGACATCTATGATTCGAGGGTGATCAAGATTCATTCTCCCTCGCCGGCTTTGCTCTGTATTCTTACTAAATTTTTCTGCACATCAGAATAATATTTAGAAAATTAATAATAATAAAGTCCTAAGCACAATTTCCTTTTAGAAACAGACAAAAAAATCCCCAAAAACTGGTGAGCTTGGGAACCTGTTTTACTCTTTTTGATAGTGCATGGCTCCCTTTCTGAGAAGCTAGTCCTGTATTCCACTTCACCTCCTGAAGAATAAAAAACAAAGAAAAACATTGTTAATAGTTAATACGTCAATACAAGTCATATTTACAAGTTATGAAACAGAGCAAAAACTGTAGCAAAAAAAATCATACAAATTGAAGCTGCAAATGAATATTCAACTATGCCTTGTATGGCTGATGAGAATTGCATGAAAAGAAAAGTTATCAGAATCTTGCGTACTGATAAATAGAATCCAGGAAAAGACAAGCTTTTAATTAACTAAGTAATCGATGCTAAGTTGGCATGTTCTAATGGGATAAAGGAAAAATATTCTCTTTCCTTCATTTGTCGCAACAACTAAGCTGTCTTCTTCACTGGCTTGAAAGCTTGAGATCCTAACTACTTCCATAATTGATGAATATTAAGCAATCATTGTGAAAACAGAAAAAAAGCTCGAGTACCCACCTCCATAGACATGATCATCTGCCTGAAAGTCCTCAGTTTTGCTCTTGATATTGAACCATTTTCTGACCATTTTTTTGGACCATGAGAGCTGCACCAAAACAATAAACACCCAATAAAGGAAAACTAATCAGTTAACTCAACAACTCCAAAAAAAAGAATTTCCATAAATTTGAGTACAGAAAACCAGGGGAGGAACCAAAAAAATAAATAAATAAACCTTGCTTTTCTTGGGATTCCCATCTCTCATTGTTAGACTTCTACTTCATACAGCTCCTAATTTACTCTTATTATTCCCCAAACTCCTAGCCTTGCTTGTAATCACCAAAAAGAAAAGTTTTACTGGAACCCCATAGGCAGCACACTCCTTCGGTCCTTTCCCAATTTTTGGGCTTTTTACCAGAGTAAAACAAGCTCAAAATAAGCGAACAAATGTCTTTATCTTGCTTGCTAAAAAGATGGTTAAAGTTGAACCAAAGAGAAGTAAACAAGAAAAGGGGATGGCTTAGTTTCTTCTTTCCAGTGCTGCTATGGATATGAAAGCAATGAAAGAAGCGAAAAACCCAGAAAATATGAAGGTCCAACGACTACAGAAAAAGAGATAGAAAGAGAAAGGGAGACAGCACTTTAATGCGTGGAAGTGAGCTGAGAAGAAGGGAGATTCTTGAAGTAAAACAAGACAATGCGGCAGACATAAAGAAAGAGAGAAGAAAGCCTTGAGAGAGAAAGGTCATAAGAACAAACAAGCAGCCCTTCTATTTCTTTGTTAAACAAAGAGAGCCTCGTTCTCAGTAAAACAGCAAAGTATCGAATTTGAACAGAATAAAGTGCAGTAGAGAGAGAAACAGTCTCACTCTATCAATATGTTGTATTTTTTTTTTTTCTTTTTGAAGGGGTTTTAGTCTTTGGGACCTATCGAAAGTCTTTAGTTCCTCATATCTCAAGGAAATTCGAATATGAGGAGGATTTGACGACGCAAGGGGGGCAAAGAGAAATGTCGTTTTGTTCGAAGTTTTGTATTTTAAAACGACAAGGTCAGTTTAAGGGAAAGGGCTCCCCGGGTGAGCAAAGTGTTTTAGGGGGTGATAAGGGGACATGTAATTTATAATAATTATATTATAATTAATTAACTAAATTTAAAATTATATAAGATCTGTTAAAATATTATGCAAAATTTACTTTTATAAGTGATGAAATTCATATAATTCTTAATTATCATTAAATAATTATAATATTATAATAAAAATTATAATTAAAATTCTCCCGGTGGTGGCAAGGTATATACCATGCCCACCACCGGCAGCTGTCCATTTCTCTTCTCTAAACGCTCGGCCAGTTCTTGGTCTTCCATCAAAGTAAAAAGGCAGTTAAAGACGGAAAAAGATAAAGGGGATGTTTTGTAGCAGTAGTACTACTGCATTTTATTTTGTTTCTCTCTCTTTTTGTCTCTTATTTTTTTATTTTATTCTTTTCTTGGGTACGAGAACTTGAAAAAGAAGGCTTTTTTTTGGGAGGCTGTTACCTATAAGTAAATTTGGCCCTTCATTAATTATTATTCCATAATTTGTATTGCGTGTATTTTACAAATTATAATTTTATCTTAAATATAATATTTATTTTTTATTTTTATTAAATTTATATAATTTTTATTATAATTTTAAATTATATTATTTTTATTATATTATGCGTATTGTATAAAATTACCAAATCCATTGGTGATCGGCAAAGGGGTGCTTCTCCTGTGTACAGTATCTGATAAGCAGGCAAATATAGCCTGCAAGAATTATAGGCTTTCAAGATTCCCTGGAAACATATAAATTTTTTTAGAAACGACTTTTGACAATGTGGAGCAATGTGAAAGTGTAAGATTGGCTCTGCAAATTGATTAATTAAAGGAAGTGATTGGCAAGGTGTGTAAGGAATGTTGTTAACCAATCTGACTGTTTTCATTCAATCTCAGCTGTGCCCTCAGAAACAAAGGCAACTGTCCCTGTCTTTAGGGTGTTACTGTTCTTTCTTCTATATCACTGCCCTAGTTAATAGAAGCTACTATCAAACGCCCTTTTCTGGCACTGGAACATATATATAAATATATATATATTTTAATGTAATTTTCAACTTTTTCTCTTAAATTTTGGCCATTAGTGTGAGGGGAAAGCATGCTTATATTTTTCTATACTAGAGGAGGAGCCCCTAAAGTTTTTTAACGTGTAAATTTGATAATTTTAAATATAAATATTATAATAAATAGTATAATTTAAAATTTTAAAAAATATATATTTAATATTTAACGTATTAATATATATTATAATATAATAATTTTTATATTTTATAATTATTAAACAAAAAATACACAAATATAAATATCCAAATAATCAATTTTCCACCTCCAACAGTCTTTGACTACTTTAAGCTATTCTATTTACATATTAAAAGCAGTCAAAACATGGTTAATTGAAGCCGCTCAAATTTTGAAAAATGCTTTGCTATTTTGACTAGTCATGGCAAATACATTTGATTTTCACCATGAAAAAGAGGGGGCTGTCTGTTAACCTTTGTCTTGTTTCTCTGCCTCAAGGCTGCTGAGCCGAAACTAAATTAATTTTAGCTGCAAAAATTTTAGAATATGATTTAAAGGCTTTTTTTTTTTAAATGAGCTGACGGCGGAGGAACATTCCATGTTGGGACACCGTAAAGGGCTTGAAACCAAAGCATCAAAAAAAAATTTCAAATAAAAAAAAAAAAGAAAAAAAAGCTTAGAAACTTGTTAACAGGGGCATCCCACTAAGCTCATAAGTGAAGGGTTCTCCGCCATCTTAAACCATTGTCCCAATTAAGGACTGGCAAGAGATTGTTTAAAGGTGTCTGGGGTCATAGTTATCTAGAATAGGATTAGCCCACCCTAGCTGTCCTGTCCCCAAACCCACTGAAACTTGTGGCTAATCCCTTTTCTTCCCCCTAGAAAAAAAAAAAAAAAAAAAAAAAAACAAAAACAAAAACAAAAACAAAGGTACATCACTTCGAGTTAAGTAGGGTTGAATTGAGTAACCCTTGATAAATCAAGATATGGACAATATAAAATTCATTCACTTACCTTAAAAATAAATATTTAACTAATTTAATATTTATAATTTTTTCATTTTCATGATATAATTCTGTGGAAAAAAATATGTAAATTTCAATCACATTTTTGAGCCCTTCATCCCACCACTTGATTGAAACCCAACTTTTATTTTTAATTTTTATTTACTCAAACCAAACAAGTTTATGAGATTCAAATCAATTCCATTTTCAAACATTAGATTTTTAATATGATGCTTTTATGAAATTTTTCAATATCCCAAGCCAAATAGACACATACATAGCAATAAAATGCCAAAAACTTTTTCACCAAAAAATAAAAAAATAAAAACAAAAATATTAGCTCAAGTAGCAACGGACCACATAGAATGCCTTTGCCTTACAAAATTTTCTAAACATGAATAATGAGTGGACTTCCATTTGTTCAAATCAAGGTTATCTAATCAGCATAAAATCAATTGCATCCACGAAATGGGATTTCAATTTGCATTTTTTTCTCTTTTTGTATGAAATTTAGAACATGTTTTGGTGTTTTGCCCTGTTGTGATGTGGGTCTCTTTGGGAATCATTTGGAGCAATAAGCAGAAAAAGTAAAAGATTGAATAATACAAAGAAACTAGTAAAGTGATAACTTGTATCAAGGACTAAAGAAAAAAACAAAAGAAACACAATGGGCCATGTTTTCGGGTTTTGGATATCTAAAGAGCAAAGGTGGTGACCCTACTTTGGGAATTTCCATTTTTTTTTTTTTTTTTGCATTGACAACTTGAACTTGATCCATCTATTTTTTTTTTTCAGATGCCAAATGGTATCTAAGAGACCAGCTTCTTTTAGATTCAAGAAAAATATGATGAAAGAGGAAGTTGGATTCTTTTCTGCCTCATTGTATGGAGGAGAAAAAAGAATATTTGTCTAGTATCACTTTTTCCATTAATTCGGTTTGGTTGTATATCAATGAATATTGTACTTAAAAATAAAATTGTATTAATTGAAATTGAATTATTAAAAAATATGAATCCTTATATTAATTTCAATGGCTAGAACTTGCAAAATATATATATATATATATATATATATATATTACATCCGTAAAAGGTTCGACAAATATAAGATTTCTTTGATTTCTCTTTTATCACTTTAAAATTTATCAGATTCAAAAATTAAAACTTTTGACAAATGATAAAAGCTTGGACACTTAAGATTTTCATCAAATACCATAATCAATTAACAACATATAGTTTGTGTAAACAGAATTTTTAGATCAAATTTTGTTAGAATTTTGAATTTTTGTGAGCTTAGCTAAATGAATTTTTGTGATTCTTCTAAAGGACAATAGGTCCAATTTTTTGTGAAGTAGGACATGAAAACCGGCATGGTTGAACCACCTGAGGCCCTGCCCTGCCCTGCATTTGTAATCATGAATATTTGAGACCAATTTTCATCTATTTTTCAGGCTAGGGAGCCCCAGATCGGTCTCATCAATAGGGTGTCTAAGGAAACACCAAATTTATGTATTCAACAAAGACATTATGAAACAATTCATGATTCTCAAAAAAAAAAAAAAATTCTTTATGGGTTGACTATAAATCAGGAATTGCAAATAACACCTCAACTATATAAAATCAGCGATGGACTGCAAACTCAAAGAATCATTTCCTCCTTTGGAAACTATGGAGAACAAAATATTCTATACTATGATAGCTATAAAAATGGAAATCATATAACAGTTCAGGTGTCTTTTTGACGCATGCATAGTACCAATGGTATATATTATTATGTCAAGTAAAAAGTACTATGCCATGACATTCAACTATTTTTTTTTCCTGATTTGTTAAAAGTTGGTTATTATGTAATAATCAACTTTTCTTGTTATTAAGTTAAAAACTACTAATCACATTGAGGTAATCATCTTAAATGTATTTTATTATTCCCCTAATGATGAACTATTAATCTTATCCGATAAAGGCTTAAGTATAGATATGTAAGAATAGGAATGATAATGGACAGAGTATTGACTAATTTTGAAATACTCTTATTCAAATTCAAGTACTAAATATAATACTTATATCCAATCCGAACATAATTAATTAGTAGTGCTTGATTAAAACTTAAATCCTCGAACCCTTTTATTTAGTTAAAGAAGATATAAATATTCATTATAAATGCTTGGTTTAACTCGAATTCGGTAATAAAAATTGAATTTCAACTACTTTATGTATTTTATTAATCAATATTAAATACATAAATAAATTTTATATCTAAATAATTTATAAATTTTAATAATTAAATGATTTGTCAACTATAAGTAATATATATACACTAAAAATAGTATAAAATTAAAAATTCTATTATTTATAATCTAGTTCAAATAACAAAAATCCATTTATATGGATCATTTTTATTTAGGAGTCAATTAACAAGTGGAGATAATTTGGTATCTATTATGTAATTTAGTTAATTCCTGTTTGTTATTTATTATTTTAAAACATGAATAGAATGAAAAATAAATAATAAAAATATCAACCATACAAAATTTTATTAAATTAGAAAAAGATACATCTTTTAGTTTATTAGATTTCTATATTTATACCTAAATCCATTCATACAACCTTTATTTAAATATACATAATTTTGTAAATATCAGCCTAATTTATGTTTATAAAGAGTAATTACATATAATTTTCA